AAGAAGAACTGGAACCGTTCTAAAGGCAAAAGATGGTCCAACCAAGCACAAGAAGACTATAGCAAATAAAGTGACTAGTCAATATTACTACATGTGCATTTATGTTTTTATCGGGAAGTATTTTGCTGCGTCAGAGATACCTTTCGCACAGGCGACAACATAATGTCCGTATCTTTTTTATGACAAAGTCATACCGTTCCATGATGCTTGCCATGCCAGGAGCTAAAAACACCAACTCTATAAAAGGGTCAGTATTCAACAAAATAAATGAAAAAATAAAAATTAAGAATCACGTAAAAATCTAACCTATTTAAAATATCAATTTCACATACGATATCATTTTTAACTGTATAGATAAACTAGTTAAGTCTGGAACAATGCGAGAACAATGAGATACTAATTTGAGTAGTGGAATTATTGATATTGTAAAAGGGATTATTTTAACAAAGTACCAGCAATGTTCATCGGTTCACACTCCACTTCGGTTTTTTAAACAGGCTAGTGCTTTATCCCTTGTTTTCTGCTCCTTCTAAAGTCTTTTCGTTCTCTTTCACTTCAATGGGCCACAGTGGCAGCATTGCCTTGCTTGGGGTGAATTGATTAAAAAAATAACTACCATCAACCGTCTGCACCAAAGAGACATGACCAACTGAAATAGTACTGAACCGTATATTTACTTTGTCCCATCTTTATTCACCAAGCAAAGAAATACATGTATGTTAACACCTCCAGTCAATTAACAATAGAGGCCATGAGATTCGTCCCTGAATTAGCACCAGGACAATTATTACTGGTAATGAACGCATCAAAACGAATCAAACGCCATCAGCGTGAAAGCATGCAACTGAAACGTGCTTAATATTGTGTTCATTTTTAAATTTTTCGTTAGTTGATTAGTTACTAAGAGTAATTAATCAAACAGCTTACTATAAAAATCTCATATAACTCTCCTGCCATCCTGTTCATTCCCCAGGGCTGGGAGGTAAATAATTTACTTACGTAACCATCCTCATGCGTTTTAAAGTTCAACAGTTCGGTAGATTCTGAATATTTTTTTTTCATAATGTCCACCTTAAGATGTTTGTCGAAATTACAATCGTTAGTAATAAAATGCATTGCAAGCTCTGTTGAAGTCAATTTATTGTGCCTGATATCATACCTGTGTCCATTGAATCTTTTTAATTTTTCTATTGTGCAACCTACATAAATCAAGTCATGTTTTCGTACATTAGGCAGCGTATATTAAATGGGAATCAGTACAATTACCACTTTCGTGATGTTTGAAATTGTGATAAAAATGAACTTGACACATATTGTTGCACAAAACACAGTTTTCCTCTTCTACGAGCGTTTTCGGTAGTACAACGATCCGAAACTCCAATGTTGTTTTGAGTATGGACGCTTATATTTGTTAAAATTTGTCTGAAGTTTTTATTTCTTTTGAAAGAAACTATAGGCGGGTTAGGGAAAATTTTCTTTAAAAACCTGGATATTTTTGAGCAACGTGCTCATAACTGTCATGTAGTATTTTCGAAATTCATTTATGATCACATGGCTTTACTAAATAATTCGGACTGATCACCGAATTATTTAGTAGAGCCATTCTTTGAGATCTTTACTCTAGTGTCTAAGAATTCAACACTGACTTTGGAGAAACTACATGTAAATTTTATTTGTGATCGAAAATTATTCTTTTGTGCAAAAATATCATAAAATTTTAGAATGTTTAACAAACTTTTCTGCGTACCTTCCCGGATAAAGAAAATATCATGTATAAATCCCAAAGTTCCTGTTTATATGATTTGAAAGATTCAAGTAATTTTTCTTCGGAATTTGTCATCAAGACTTTCACAAAGTTAACGGCAATTAGGGTTCCCCATTGCATATCCTTTGATTGGGTGGAAAACATTTTTACTAAACATTATCGTGTTGCTTTTCAAGATGAATCGTATAAGTCTACAGAGAAAGTTTGACGGAATGGATTTGTTCTTGCGTTTCTCAAAAGCTTTGTTGTATTCCTCAATCCCTTCATCGTGATCAATATTTGGATAAAGATATGAGACATCCATACTGACCAAAAAGCAATCATGAAAATCATTTTTCGTTCTGAAAATTTATTTATTTTAGAAATAAAATCAAATTTGTCACGGCATAAGACGAAAACCGTTTTGCTATAGGAGAGTAAAAAAAATCTAGCGCTCAATTTTGCCGTACAACATTCATATACGCTACAAATCAGGCGGAGTGGAGGAAATTTATCAAATTTTTTATATATTTTTGGAAGACCGAAAAAACATTGGTGTTCTTTGCTCCGAATATAATATATTAGACTCTGTTTCATTGATATAACTATTTCCATTCATTTCAGAAATTATCTTGTTTAGCTTTATTTCTGTAATAAGGGTCGAGTCTATTTTTATTTCTTCATAAATTACTTTTATCCTTTAAAAGTTCTGCACAAGTTTTCCTTATTCATAATAACAATACCGCTTTCTTTGTCTGCCATTTTTATGAAAATCGAATCTTCATTGCCGAGAGGACGAAGAGCGTTATGTTGCAAAGCTGAAAGGTTGTTCCAGGTTTTATTATGGTTTGATTTTACATTTTCCCTTATACCAGCCTGACAGATTTCCAAAAATTCGATTAACGACTGTGAGCGTACCTCTTGGTCTACCTCTGGATAACAGGCTGGAATTTTCTTATCCCAATTATGCTAGATTCTATCAATATCTTTGTCTTAAGTTGTATTTGTTGTAGAATATACGCCACTATTTTTTTCGAAAAAAATATTCCTAGAGCTAGTGACGAGGGACAAATTGAAAAACCTCCCGAGCTAATTTATTTTTGTCAAAAGTTCTACTACTTGGGCAAAAATTCACTTCAAGCTCTAAAACCGAAATCTACTCCGGAGAAAGCTTTAAATTTGATAAATTTATTACAGCATTATTTTCCAGTGTGTTCTAAAGTTTTGAGGAGTATTAGTTTTAGTATTGGAATTGTATTTTCTTAAGATTTTCGTGTGTATCGATCTTCGGGGCATGATATTCTTTGATATTCTTCAATGAGTACATGGAACTTGCTGTGGCGGTTTCTGATATAAGTATTGAGAATATTTAGCAGGTCTTTTAGAAGGGACCCATTTTTGAGTAAATGGTAAAAATGTAATTGTGTCTAGTGTCTATTGCATATGTTGATATTTTATGAATTTTAGATTTTGGGAAGGGAATAAATCTTAATTTCAAGACAAAATTGAAAATGCCACCTCATTTTGGATTGGCCAAACAAAAATTTTTCTGAAGAATTTCCTATGACTAATTCGAAAGAATATGCTAGAGCACAAAAGTTATTTAGAAACCCTGTAATTTGAGAAAAGTAATCTTTTCATTTGAACATGAGCTATTGAAAGTTAGATAGTTGTGTACCCTTAATAGTTTTTATATCAACAGAAGCCAAGATGGTGGAATCCGAAAACAAACACAGCAATGAAAACTTGTGAATCCAAAATTTCAGGATTTCGATTCGGGACGCGTCCCGGAATGTTTTAATTTGCTCATAGTGTTGGCCTGATTCCAAAATGCTATATGTTCGGCTACGGCCTCTAGGAGTAAATTTAAAAAGTATGTTACAGTGACACATTGACATTCAAACAGGTACTTTAAACCTTTCATCAGGATCCATTTCCCAAAATCTGACAAATCTATATAAATGCTTATTATATAGATTTGTCAGATTTGGGGAAATGGATGCTACTGAAACGTTTACAGTACATGCTTGTATGTTCTAAGTAAAGGGTCAAATGAATTATCAGGGAAATACGAATGCAAGATTGAAACATATACCTTTGTATTTTTCATCTTTGGATATTTAACTGATGTACTAGTGAATCTATTCAGTACTGCTGTTCGTTCACCATTTTCTTCCTTAAAACAAATGAAAAATGCAAGGAAGACCTTTCAAAAGGCACAACATACATATATATATATATATATATATATATATATATATATATATATATATATATATATATGCATTATTTACATTATTCGGACTATTGTCCTCATCTTTGTCGCCATATTTATTACAACATTTCGGCTGTTGTACGCTCCGGCTTTCTTCAGGTGCTTGGAATATCGAATTAGACTGGAGTAGACTGTTCTAGTTACACGTGCCATGTTTAATGGATGTTAGTTATCAGTTATCTACTGTTAATTTCCCTTTGAAAGTTCTCCACTGCCTTAACATGGTATTGAACTCATACTCTTTGGGTCATGTCACTGGATCTAACTAACGACTTTGTCCTCAAGGACATATGGCACAGTGGATAAAGGCGTTGATTAGATCCATATTTTAAAGCAGTACAATGACAAAGCGAACAGAGATAAGGAAATCATTTTCTAAGGTACATTCCCATCCAGTAAACAATCAAGCTGTAATCTCTGTTAGCAACTGCGTAGACTTTACCAACCTCAATATCTTAACAGTACAAAGCCTTCACAATGTTTATTGCTTCCAATTTCATGTACATTTTTAAAATTTTTTATTTTCAAACTATAATGGAAGCAAATAGTTTCACTGACTTTCGACATAGGCTAGATTGATGTCGATGGATTCAATAGCTTAAGTTTGGAAATTTCCAGAGTTGAGGAAATTTTTCACCATGTTGAATATTAGCAAAAATATTTTTGAATCTTTATTGTTATATTTTATAATGGTTTAGTACTATTTTCTTCTGTGTTTAGTAAAACGTTGAGCTTGATAAGTTTGTAAACATTATCAGGTGAATGTCAAATCCTTTTTTCGTCAAATTCTTTTAGTGAAAACATTAAAAGTAATGCATTCAGTATTTGAGAAACGCGGTATTTCCAAATTATTTATACAGATCAAGGACAATTAAAACGGATTTTGTCATATTTGAAATGATTAATATATTCGAAATGGGTGACTCAATTAAACTAGCAGTTGATGTTTAAAAGAAAATCTGTTTTAAACATTCTCAAAACTTATCTTTGAGAGAAAAGAGAGAGAAAAAGAAGAGGGAAAGAGAGTAATAAGAGAGAAGTGGAGAGGTAGGAAGAGAGAGAAAGAGAGAGAGAGAGATATTGTAAAAGAATTATGGTTTATTCGTCCGAAGATAATACCATAATATGAAAAAATATGAGAAAAACAGAGTAAAAAACGCAAACCAGAAAGACACGAATAGAGAGAAGTGGTTGTGAGAAGTGCTGATAATGGTAGGAATTCTTTTGGCAAAGGTGGTAGATTCCTGAATATGAATCAAGGCATCATCATCATTAGCCAACCCAACTTCGTATATGCACGGTTATGGATTGGGTAGTTAGGTTAGGCGAGGAAGTTGAAAGCGGGGAGAGTGCAAAGTGTTGGAGTTGGTTTATTAGCAGTTTATTTGAGATCTTTGGCAAAATCGGGAAGAAATATTTACTATTGACTGATTACAATCTTCTTTAGTTTTTATAGTCCCAATGAGACAGAGAAGGAAAAAGAAGAGCAAGATCGAGCGAGAGAGAGAGAGAGAGAGAGAGAGAGAGAGAGAGAGAGAGAGAGAGAGAGAGAGAGAGTGTGTTTTCATTGTTGGCAAAGTATTTTGATTTTGGTTTCGTTAACGAAACGGTTTCAGTTTTTGAGAGAAAATCGATATAAAGAATAACCAGGGCGGATCCCAGTTGTTTTCTGCTACTGGGCAATAGCCAACTGGAAAAAGAAAAGAAAAAAAACACGAATAAAAGCCTCGGACGAAATAACTAATCGCACTTGTGAATGTGACATGCTAGTTTTCTTTCTCAGCAAAGAAAAAAATAAATAAAAAACAAGTGTCAGATTGATGGTTTAAACATCATCATGGAACATTCTCCCCACCTATAGAATATGTACTCACATGACTCAACTCATTCTAACGTTTGTGGTCTTGGTTACTATGGTGATAGAGAAATAAATAACAAGAAGATAAAATTTCCCCATTTCTAAAAATAGACGGACAATATTTTTATTTTTTATCTTTTTCTTGCATCATGGTTGTGAAAGCTTTCTGATTGGTTGGTCGAACTATGACTCTATTTGCCTGGCGATTTTTATTTCCCGTCTGTTTTTAGAGATGTTGAAATTTTGGTTTTCTTGTTATATTTTTATTTCTCTACCACAATAGTTTCATTTAAGGATCCAAGATCGATTTGTGTACATTTGATTATGTTGCCATGCCACTTTCTTCTCTGGACATCCCTGCTTCTTATTTCTGCAACCATCTCTTCAATGCATACTTTTGATAATCCTTTTTTGCTTTGTTTGATGTGATCATATAAGTTAAGGATTTTACTCTTTATCTAGTGGATGATTAGTGTCAGACCAGTTGTGTCCAGAAGGGTTTCTATCCTTACATGATCTTACGAAGTACTGTAGTCTAGTTTACAAAAGCACTACAGGGAAAATATACAGTGACACGCAAAATTTTACAACACATTACAAAAATGTTTCTTTAGGTATTTCTAACAAAGATTAATGAAACTTTTATTGCTAATAATACATATGTTTAAGCCATTAGTCAAACAATTAAATTTAAAAAAAATAATCAATAAAAATATCCCACGAAGAAAAACCATTATTTAATAACTCAGAAATTTACAATACATTTATTAATTCATCTATTAATATTTCGTTACGTAACCGTTATTTCTAATTACAGCACGTAGGCGGTTAGAGTAGTCCCCTACGAATTTCTTGCATGTTTCTTGGCTAATATTTTTCTATTCTTCACGACAAAATTCCTTTAATTCTTGCAGGTTTTGCGGGTTCCTTCTTTGAATTCTCATAAATTCTCCATAAATTTTCAATCGGAATGAGATCTGGCAATTTTACAACGTCTATTCTATTTGAACTTAATCATGATTTTGTAAGTTTTGCAGTATGTTTAATATCGGTGTCATATTGAAAGACCCAACCTAGTTTCAAGTTCAGCGAATGTGCACTCTGACGTAGATTTCTCTTCAAAATATCCGTATAATATGCTCCATTGATCATCCTTTCTATTGTTTCAATGTTCCCTACACTTTGAGCACTAAAGCGACGACAGATCATGATTGATCCGCCTCCAAATTTTACTGTTGGGATAGTATTCTTCGGCGAATATTCAGTACCCTTCTTTCTCTAGGCCTTTACCACAGCATGTCTGCCAAAATGTCGAATTTTCGTTTCGCCTGACCAAAGTAAATATTCCCAAAATTATGCAGGTTTGATACAATGATCATTTGCAAAAGCCAGTCTAGTAAGAATGTGTTTACGCTTAAGAAGTGTTTTTTTTCCTTGCAGTCCTCGAAAAGATGTCATATCCACGAAGTGAAAAACTAATTTTATACGTACTCACTTTTGCACCACTTACTTCTAGTCCTCCCATAAGTTCTTTAAGTGTAAATTTCCACCAATAATCTTGCCATACATTTCGTTACCTTTCTAGGACGAGCTGAGCTTTTTGGGGACTAATGGAATGACACGTATTCCAGTGACGAACTATAGTACCAGCTGAACACAATGACACATTTAACTGACTAGATATCTTCCTATAACCAAGTCCATTTGTATGAAGGACAAAAATACGTTTTTTGCTTTTCTCCATTTTGTCAATGTTTAAAGGGCGGTTGACAGAAAAAAGAATAATTTTAATCATTGCTAAAACAATCAAAATGGATCTGGAACGTTCTGAAAAAACAACTCTATCCTAATTTGGAACATTCTAGTAAAATTTGAACCCTTTAAAAAAAAAACTGTTGTAAATAAATAAATGTGTTGTAAACCTTTCAGTTTCTTCATGGGATACTTTTTGGAAGTTTTTCTTAAAAATCTGATTGTTTGACTGAATACCTAAATATATATTCTACGGGTTGTAAAATTTTAGTTAATGTAACTGTATTAGAAATACCTAAAAACATTTTTGTAATGCGTTGTAAACTTTTGCGTGGCACTGTATGTGTTGTAGATCTTAGCTTTGATTTTGTAAAGAATATGAGAGGATGTTAGGATTTGTTCTTTTCAAACGCTGTCCAGCCAAAACCTATTCTATGTTGAACAGGAAATGATTCGAAGATCAAGGTTTGTGGCCCAGATAGACAAATCCACTTTTTTAATCAGTTTTCCATAGACTGTTATATTGAACGTGACATTATCTTGATTAATAGCTATGTACTTACCTTTTCATATATTTATGGTCCGATTTACTTTCTCTGCATTTTTGGCAAATTTCGGCCATTCTTGACTGGAGTCATTAACAGCAACATCATCATCAGTCATATCTTAAGTGTGAAAGGAGGTGAGAACCAACTGAAAATGCTAATGGATTATGTTTTATGTTCAATTGATGTGATTACAGTGCAGAGATGGTGTAACTAGTTGTTTTAAAAAACCAGTCGTTAGTTTTCGAGCCCATCTAAAAAGACAGGATTTCGAAAGCTGATTTTTAAAGCATGCATAAAAGTAGTTTCCACTGCTACCATAATTTGGCTCTACTTTAGTATTTTCTAGAATAAATTTATTAAATATCTAAATAAAAAAATATAAAAAATAACATGAAATGTACTGTCTTTACTTTGGTGGTAGGAAATTCCATTTCATATTTCCACTCTAATTTACCCGTTTAATTGAGTTATTTTTTTTAATATTTGATTTTCTTCAACACTTCTAATTATTTATTGCATATAAATATAATTACAAATGATTTAAGATTTTTTTCGGCTAAGAAAAATTAGTTATAAAACAGAAGTTAGAAAAAACACAGGTGTGATTAAAATACTGTCGAGCAGGACGAGGTAAAATGGTTGGGGCATTGTAGACATTGTAGACACACCATATTGTGAGGATCAGAGAAGTTTAGCGCCTAAGCTGAAGCATCCAGTGATAATTAAAAGAAAAACACTAAGAAAGGTTGGTGCCACTATTTTGTTAACCATGACATCTCGGGTAATGAAAAATTCAAGTGTATTTGAGACAATAAAATTTTTAATGTTTACATGTACATTCCATTATAATTACATTATACACTACATTATGAATCAATTATAAAGGAGACCAAATCAAATTGTTCAGAATAAATTGAGCTATCTAATCAGAAGAGCTTATTCCCCAAAATTAGAAATTCTTTTGGAAAAATTAGAACACAAATTTATATCTTAAAACTAAGTATATTCAATAATTTGACAAAAAAGAAAACAGCATAGCAGGATGAAAAAAAGACACCAAACTTAATAAAAAAAAGTTTGTTATTAATAAGAGGAAAGACCAAAGTATTTTTAAGAATTTTTTCCTTTCTAGCTTTCTAGAAATTTTAGTCGAAAATCTTGTTTTTTTATGTCAGCTGTTGCGAAATATTAGCATTAGGTTTTTTGCGCTTTTTTCAGTTTAAAAACACATTAATTTGGAAATTCTTGCAAAAATCAAATAATTGAAATATTCAGAACTGAATAAGTTCTGAAGATTTCAATTATTTGAAAAAAAAAAGAATGCAATTATTTTAGAAATGTTTGGCTTGAGAAAGTCATTGTAAAAATATTTTTTTACATCAGATACATCCCCCTTACTTAATTTTATGAAAACTTAAAACTCGAATATGCGCGTCTCTTATAATTTTTTAGATTAAATGCAGAAAACTTTGAAGAATATAAATCATCGATTTCTTTTTATAAATTGAGGAGCGTTTCTACCCAAACTTTACTTCTGAATTGGAAAATACAAAACCCAATGAAACTAAGACATTACTAAATTTAAAAAAAAGCTTTTAATGGCTTTTATGAATAATATATATTAAGGGCATTTTTGTCTGAATCCCAAATATTTTTTGGATGAAAAATTAATTTTTACAAGAATTGTTTTCTTTTTTTCAATTTTAAATACAAAATGTGATAAAGTTGTTAGATATTTTAAAATTAAGTTTGAATATAGGCATCTCTGGAAATGCTCTTAATAAAAGATCTATCTTTACAGATCATAAATTTGAAAGCTTATCTGCGAAAAGTTTCTATTTTTACAATAATTTTTTTAATATGCCAAAAAATGTATTGAAAACGAAAGCACAATTCAGGAACAATGTTCCGTGTTTTATGAGTTGTTTCTCCTTATAGTGAAGATAGAGGCTCATAAATTGTGTTGATTTCGTGTCAAATTCTCTGACTGACCGACCATCATTGTCGCATTTTCAAAATTTTTAATTTTAATTTTTTTTTTTTTACATATTTTCCTAAATATGTTCTTACCATTTTTTTAAATATAACCAATTTTTTCTTTTACAGGGAGAGACATACTGCAATTATCAATTTTTTCCTTTTCAGATTTAATTTTAAGGACGGAAACAGTGCAGACTTTGGACATATCTTCGTTAAAAAGTGCCTAAAAAATCAATAAAATATTAGACTGTTGAAAGTATTTTAACTTTTAAGAATTACTCTATAGTTAACTAAGCCGGTTCGCTTAAAATTCGAAAATACTGTTACTTCTGCCTTTCCGCCAGATAAATTACCCTGACGTTAGTTATCGATACATTGACGTAAACGTCAATTCTCCAGAACCAATCACTACGGTTAGACATGCGTCTCT